TGATTCCATTACAGGTGGAGGGGGTTGGGATTTGCCTTAAAATTATAACTAACTCAGTTAGAACTGAAGTCAGGAAGCACATCTTCACACACAAAGTTGTGAAGATGTGGAATCTTCTGCCCCAGAAAGCTGCAGAGGCAGAATCAAAAGGCAATTGTTTAATAGAGAGACACACACTGACAGATACTTTTTGGAGCAGAGGTATAAGGGAATATGGTGAAATTGGCAGGATATTAGGATTAAAATATCTGCCAAGATCTAATAAACAGCCTTGATTGACTGAATGGCCTCTTCCTGTTCCTTTATTTCAATCTTTAACAATGGGCAAAGAACAAAAAAGCAAATGGAAAATTGTACAAAGTTCCAGCCTTTCTGGCTTAATATTTCACATTTTTTTTCACTTGTAGTGATATTTGATTTTATAAAAAAAAGGTTAAACATCCAGGAACAACCTGCTCCAAAACACCACGTCTTCACAATCCACTGTGTGCAATGCATGATGTGCGTTTGCACTGAAACAGATGTTGAACCTGATTGCATTGCAAACTATTTTTAAACTGAGTTTTTATTTCAGGCCGTGAAGCTGGTTGAGCGTTTGTATCAGGTCCAGTGGGTGAGGGGTGGGTGGGAGAGTTCACTGAGCCTTTTGTCTTTCTCAGGTTGACAAAATGAGTGCTTTGCTCTAGAGTATCATCAACAGGCTGTTTGACAGTGTAAACACCACACCCAATCCTGGACACTGACACTGCCTTCCGTCACCTCCTCCTGGCTTCCAGCGTTATGTTCTGCCACAATCAAGTGCTCTGGGATGTTACCCTGCATGAGGATCACCATATAAATGCTAATTGTAACTGTTGTTGTTGCAAATCGCTAAAAATGCATACTTTGCCATTGTAAGCATTGTTTGGCATGCTTCCTGCTGCTTGTCCACCCTACTTGTTGAGTCAGCAGAAGCCGAATGGGCAAAGTCTCTGCCTTCAGTAACTATTTTGCCCATTTCATGTCCTGCCCACCAGCCAGGCTGGCTGGACTGTCATCAGAAGTGCCTGATATCAACAGGCAGGTTGATGCAATTGTATCATCAACCATATTGGGGGTTTTTGTGTACTTTTGTACTGAAACAGATGTTGAAACTGATTGCATTGCAAACATTCCATTAATAATAATAATTCCTCAAATTTGACGCTGAAATTCCTCAATGTGCTTTACAGGGATATGTGGTCAAGTGTAGTGACTGGGTAGGTGCAAACAGCAGACAATGTGCGCAATGCAATGTCTCACAAACAGCCATAAAACAAATGGCCAATTTTATCTGGAGGATGGTTGGGCAGGAAACCAGGAGAAACTCCCTTCTCGTTTCAAGTAGTGTCATGGGATCTTTAATATTCAAATGAACAAGCAGATGGAACCTCGGTTTAATGTCTCCTCCAAAGGTCACTAGCTCAGCAAAGCAGTCCCCACCCCTTCCACCCCTCCCTGCACTGGAGTGTCAGCCTGTTCCAACAGTGAACAGAATGTTCTGATTTATAAATACCTACAAAGAAATATACAGACTGTCCTTGTAATAAACTATGGAAAGCGAAGGTTTGGCACAGAAGCATCACTGAAACAATTGCAGTTCACAAAGTGCTCACTGCACTCCCCATTTCCACTGTTTACAAGGTCCAGCTCATCCAAAACTCTGCCACCCACGGCCTCACCATTATCAAACTCCACATGCCCCTCACTGCAATCCTCCCCCGGCTCAACTGGCTTCCTGCCTCCAAAAGGATTGATTTCAAGATTCTCACATACAAATTCCTTCAAGCTCCCTTCCTGATCTGCTCATACCCCACTCCTTTGCCCATCCCCTTCACTCAGTTGGCACAATTCTGCTACACATCCCCCAACCTTTCCACACTACCATCAGTGTTTGTGCCTTCAGACGCTACACCTTGAACCTCTGGAATAACCTACCTCAATCTCTGCTTCGCCCCTCTTTATCTTTAAGTCCCACTTTAAGACTTACCTCTAGGACAGCGCCTATGGTCAACTCCCCTTCTCTGTTGCTTGGCACTCAAACCCGCCAAACCTGTGCAATGCTCTGAGACGCTACCCTGCATGAATAATAATCCTTGTATTTGATGTCTTCTAATGTCTCAAAGCACTTCACAGAATATACTGTAGGACACTATATAATTGGGCACTATATAAATGACAAAGGCGTAAATTAGGGTTTGGGCTGTATTGAAGGTGTGTGAGTAGAAACGATGTTGTAGAAACAGAAGAAAACAGACTTGGTCAGAGCCTTGGATGAAAGCTTTAAATGAGTTGAGTGTCAAACAAAAGCTGAGGTTCCGCACAGGTACCATGAGCTGAAATGAGCAATCGGGGAGGTTATGCTTTCTCAAGTATCTCAGTCTGCAGGAGCCAAGCAGAATGGTCTTAACATTAATATTGTCAATGTCGATGTTAATGCTCATCAAGGATTTGATTTGTGTCAGGAAGCTGTCAGAACAGCAATGCTCCTGGAGTCAAGGGTGGAGACAGGAAGGTAGAGCTGGTTGTTGTTCACCTGGATGTGGAAGTAATGGTCCCCGTGTCTACTGCTGAAGTCACTAAGGGGCAAATGACCTTCTTGATAGTTGAGGCAATCTGAGTTTGCCTACCCAAGATATCTTGTTTATTATAATAATAACCCTTGCATTTGATATAGCGCTTTTCACGTCTTCTGGATGTCTCAAAGCGTTTCACAGAATATGCTGTAAAGTGAATTGACTGTATATTTGTGGACGAAACGCAGCAGCCAATTGCGCACAGCAATGTCCCACAAACAGTCGTGGATTGAAGTGACCAATTTATTATTGTTTTTTATCTTGAAGGATTATTATTACGCGTGTGGAGTAAGGAAACTTGCCCAAGGTTTCGCCCTGCTGGGATCCATGGCAATGGCCTCTTTGTCCACACACAATGCATTGGCCTCTATCCCACTGGCCTTGCTCCCGAAACTCTAAGTGAGGTAGTGCCTCACCTGACGAGCTGTCACTGCTGAGGGAGGGCATGTAAATAAGGAAACAACAACTTGCATTTACATTACTCTTTACTCCCTTTACGCGGTGTAGCATCTGGGAGCGCTTTACAGTGACGGAGCCTGACGCCAAGTCGGAGGGAGGTGATCGAGGGAGAGAGTTCCAAAGTTTTGGGACATAGTGGCTGAAAGCATGGCTGCCGATGGTGGAGTGGAGGCCACAAGGAAAAGGACAGGGTAAGATGCTGGTTGGAAAGAGCTTTGGTTGCAAGGGAGTGGACGTTTTGGAGGGCAAAGCATCGAAGAAAGGCAATGAGGGAGTTTGCAGGCGAGGGCAGTCAGTAATGTGGATGAGTGAGAAACTGGTCCAATAAGATGGGGCATAGACCTTGCAACTTGATGGGGGAATGGAGCCGTTCAGTGGTGGGGTCAGGGACGTTGTTCGGTTATTTTTAAGTGGAGTGGGTAAGAAGAAAGTGTCCAGAGAGGTGGATTTGGAACGGAAATAAATTTAGGCGAGACGTGCGACAATAGCTTTGCCAGCCAGTCAGTCCCTGCACAGAACGGGCAACAGAGCAGCAGATTTGAATACAAATCCATTAATGTAATTCGCACCGAACAGCATCTGCACAATGTTGGGACGGGAAACGCGCAACATGCGTTTGCATCGCATTGGACCCATGAGCACACATCCACAAGTTTGGTTTTAAACGTTCATGTCCGGGTTGTACTTGTGGACGTCCCGTGAATGTACGCCCCGAGCTGGAGCTAACTGACCGACTTGCACACCCGCTGTCAACTTGCATTTACATAGCGCCCTTCACACAGGGGGGAGTCTTGGGAGCAGTATGACGGGGGTCACACTCTCCTGCCCCCTCCTCCCATTGCCACCACCAAGCGCCCTGTGTGAGGGGTGCTATACAAATGCAATTTGTTGCTGTTCCCTTCCCTCCTTCCCCTTCTCGCTCTGCTCTCCTCTTCCCCTTCTCTCTCACTGCTTGCCTCTTCCCCCCCCTCTACCCCTCTCCTCCCCCCCCCCTCTACCCCTCTCCTCCCCCTTCTCCTCTCTCTACCCCCCTCTCTCCTCTCTCTACCCCCTCTCTCCTCTCCCCCCCCCCCCCCCCCCACTCTCCTCCTCTCTACCCCTCTCCTCTCTCTACCCCCTCTCCTCCCCCCCCCCCCCCCCTCCTCCTCTCTGCCTCTCCTCCTCTCTCCCTCTCTCCTCCTCTCTGCCCGTCTCTCTCTACCCCCCTCTCCTCCCACTTTCCCCCCTCCCTCCTCCTCTCTGCCCTCTCCTCCTCTCTGCCCGTCTCTCTCTACCCCCCTCTCCTCCCACTTTCCCCCCTCCCTCCTCCTCTCTGCCCTCTCCTCCTCTCTGCCCGTCTCTCTCTACCCCTCTCCTCCCACTTTCCCCCCTCCCTCCTCCTCTCTGCCCTCTCCTCCCCCCTCTATCTGCTTTGCTCTTTCTCCTCTCTCTCTCTCTCCTCTTCCCCCCTCCCTCCTCCTCTCTGCCCTTCTCCCCCCCCCCACCCGTCTTTCCCCCCTCTCTCTATCCTCTAACCCCCTCTCTCTCTCTCTCTCTCTCCTCCCCTCACCCCCTCTCTGCCCTCCTCCCCAGCAACCTCCCAGATGAAGCTGCTGATTGGCTGGCCGGCCGGCCCCCCCCCCCCCGCAGCTCTTTACCATGCGCGGCCCGCAGCCAATGAGGGTGTCGGAGCCCCGGCTATTTAGCATGACGCGAGCTGGCCAATGGGCGGCCGAGCTGTTGCTAGGCTCCGGCTTCACCCCTTGTTCCTAAGCGGCGGCCGGCCGGCCAATCAGCGCGCGCCGAGCCTTGTTGACAACAATCAGGGGGACAACCTAACTCGCTGGTAGGACCCGGCTGCCGCTCGCCATTGGTCGGCTCCTTAGTCCCGCCTGCGAGTTTCCGGGCTGGTATCGGCCGCGGGTTGGCCGGGCTCGCCGTCGCTCAAGGCGGTACGTCATAGTGCAGTAGGTTAGGTTGAGAGCGCTGGACGTTCCCCCCTTTTCTCTGCTCTTGAGTCACTTGAGTTTTGTCTTCCAATGTGAGCTGTTTGTGCTCTCAGCTGCACAGCTAAACCGGGGGTCTCACACACACACACTGTCATACATACATGCAAATTGTATGTCCATATAAATATATATATATATATATCAGAGAGGAAGAGGCAAGGACACACACAAAGGAATCTCTCCCCCCCCCCACCCCCACTCTCCCCAATTAAAAGCTAAAGGGGAACAGAGAAAAAGAAGAGCAAAAAACAAACAAAACAACAGCAAAAAAAACAATGGCATTTTTTAATATCCAAACCTTACTGGAAGCGGCTGAATACATCGAGAGGAGAGAGAGAGGTATTTATTACTGTGATTTGTTTACCAAAATACCGCAGATATATATATATATATATATATACATAGATGTATGAGCTCCAGATTTTTTTCTCTGCGTGCGAGCAATGCACGAGGGGTCGGGGGGGTTTTTCTTCGCGCACATCTGTTGTGTTGTTGTGCAAAAAAAAAAATATTGCATTTCATCGTATGTTTTTGTTCTGCAGCCGACGTGCCTTTGCCTCCTGCCTTTGGCAGCCCCGGTGGCTTGTTGTTGTCACGGACCCATCTTATTGTTTACTTTGCAGAGGCGGAACATGGCTACGCGTCTGTCTTACCCTGCAACGCCGAGTTCTCCAGGAAGAAACCCAAGAGCAAGAAAACGCCAAATAACAGGTAGCGAGAGAGAGAGAGAGAGAGGAGAGAGAGGGGGGGGGTGGGGGGGCAGAGGGGGGGTGGGGCTGAGACCCGCGGGGGGGGGGGGGGGTTGGGGGAGAGGATCTCTTTAATCTTTCCCAGTCGCCATTTTCCCCCTTTTGGGCTTGGCTGTGTTGTGATCGGATATAAACACTGCCACGCGTACAGTATTCACTGGCAGATCCCAGTGTCAGTCTGGGGGACGGCTGCTCGCTCTCTCTCTCTCTCTCTCTCTGTCTGTCTCTGTCTGTCTGTCTCCTCTTTCTCTCCTCTCTTCCCTCCTTCACTGTCTCCTTCTCTCCCCCTTTCCCCTTCTCTCCTCTTCTCTCCCCCTCTCTCCCCCTCTCCCCTTCTCCCCTTCTCCTCTCCCCTTCTCTCTCCTCTCCCCTTCTCTCTCCTTCTCTCTCCTCTCCCCTTCTTCTCTCCCCTCTCCCCTTCTCTCTCCTCTCCCCCTCTCCCCTTCTCCCCTTCTCCCTCTCTCCCCTTCTCCCCCTCTCCCCTTCTCTCTCCTTCTCCCCCTCTCCCTCTCTCCCCTTCTCCCTCTCTCCCCTTCTCTCTCCTTCTCCCCCTCTCCCCTTCTCCCCTTCTCTCCCTCTCTTGTGCGGATCTTTGCGGATTTCTTGTGTTTTTTTAATTCCAGATTGGAATTTGAAAGCAACGATTTTAAACCACAGAGAGAGAGAGAGAGAGAGAGAGAGAGAAGTGCCCCAACCACCATCACCCCACTTTTATTTATATATACTGCATGTGTGTGTGTGTGTGTATATATATATATATATATATGTGTGTGTGCGCGTGTTTTAAAACATCAATGATTTTTGCAGCCTTTTTGTTCATCTGTGCTTGAGCAGTACCAGGAGGAACGCGCAGTGAAATTGCAAAACCTTATTTGATCTGTTAATGTTTATGCATAATATATATATACTGTATAATATAATGTACATACGTTGCCCACTGCTGACCACAGTCATGGCGATCAAACTGAGTCCAGGGAAGGATTGATTGATTCCCCGGGTTAATCTTCAGTTTGGGTACGTGATTGTTGATGAATATTATCTGAAGAGAATAAATAGGACATTATTTTTCTTTTTTTTAAAAAAACACAAGTCAGGTGACAGATTGATCTGGATGCATCCTGCCACGATTGTTATATATATATATATATGTGTGTGTGTGTGTATCTATATATATATATATATATATTAGTGAATATTTTTCACCAAAGTAATTATATTATTTTGGCATCAGTCAGTTTGCTCACCTCAGTGTTGGTTTGACAAGAGTGCGCCCTCCCCGGTTTGGCTTTGCTCAGTGCACAGTGTGATGTGGACGTGTTTCTTTCTGCCCGGATGAACTCTCCCCCCCCCCCCCCTCCCTCTCTCTCTTTTTCTTTCTTTCTCAACTCGAAAGAATCGGCTGGATTGTTGCCTTCCTCCCAACATTGATTTTATATTTTTTATTGAGGTTCAAACCAAACCCAAGAATGAATGGATTTCTGGAACTGGAGTGTGTGTGTGGGGGGGGGGGTGATGTGCCCTGACAGTGAATGCAAAAATCTGCTTTTTATGTTAATTACTTTAAGCTCCTGATACTGTCCTTTGAGTATCTCCCATCCTTTCTCTGATAAGGTCACCTTCTGGTTCCAAATTAACTTTTTTCTTTTGGACAGTCGTATTATTTGAATTTAACAACTAATTGGACTTGTTAAAGTCAACTTTTTTCTCCGTTTCTCGGCAGTTTAGATTCTATTAGTAATCCTTGCATTTGATATAGTGCCTTTTCATGTCGTTGAGACGTCTCAAAGCGCTTCACAGAATATACTGTAAAGTGAATTGATTATATTTTGTGGGCGAAACGCGGCAGCCAATTGCGCACAGCAGTGTCCCACGAACAGTCGGGGATTGAGTGACCAAATTCGTATTATAATTTTTTTAAATTAACATAATAGAAGAATGTCTCAGTCTAGGAAGACCTCATTTTGTCATCTGGGTACTGTCTCAGCTCAACACTGGAGCTATCTATCCGCTCTATCCCTGTATAGTGTTGTAATTGCCACTTGTAACACATTCCGCATTCTAGTAAAACCATTTTCTTTAACCCTACTCCCTCCACAACCCCCTCCCCCCGTTATAATGTTGGGTTTATGCCACTTTGAAGCCACCTGCTTGTCATAACGATCCCACACTCACTTTTTACCTTCTATAAAAACGCCTTCATAATCTTGACAGCTCTCCTATTAGGTCCGTGAAAGCTGATGTTTACTTCATTAAAAGTCAAATCTAATTAATTCACAACCGAATTGTTCTGTACCTTTATATGACTGACTCGGTGGAAATGCAAATTTGACTCAGGTATTCTCTTACCCAGCGTTACGCAATCCAGTGCTAGTTGGTTGAGCCAGAGCTGGGGTGTTGACTGGGATAGGTGGAACACAGCAATCAAAATCCTCATAGCAGTGACTTTGAGAGCTGTAAAACTTGTTTGATGATACAAATTGTTGGTATTTTTCATTTGCCTTACCCTCTGCCAATGAAAACCCAAACTGTGCATAAGAGCCCTGGGGGCTGAAGCAAAGCAAATGTTGCGTTTGTCCTTTAACAGTGAGGATGTGACCATTGCTAACATTGTTGGGATCAGTGTGGTCATTTTCCTTGCAGGAGCTGACATGCACAGCAGCGTATTAGTCATACAGTTGGCACCTGTTGGAGTGAAGGGTCGCAGGGGGTATGCAACCTGTAAGGAGCATTGCTAATCGTAGTCATGGCGAGGAAGTAAACAGAAGCCAAGTTGCTCTTCTCTCGTGTCCCTTTTCTTTATTTTCCCCACCCCGAGGGAGAATCCTTGAGATCCTACAAAAAACAATATGGTCATTACACTTTACCGTAAACCTTGTGAAGCGCTTTAAGTCAGATGTCCACTTGACGCTATATCGAATGCAACAATTATTATTTATCCAATTATCCTTGGTTTGTCCTGTAAGTAGCCATTGGTGATAGCTGTGTGTTTCAAACCTTCAGTGTTGGGCAACATGCCTGGTTCTGTGTAGGAGACAGAGGGGAATGCAATAAAAAATAATAGATGTAGTGGAAAGTTAGGGAGTGGAGTCTGCTGCAGGTGCTGCATTGGACATCATGGTATGAATACACCATATGGTGGAATGGGCTGACAGATTCTCCCTTCCTCATTTCTTCACATGCCCAGGGCAGAGGAGGAGGAAGGAGGGAGGAGCGACTTGGTTTCTACCAAAGGGGCAGAACTTCCCCAGAGGAGAAAAATTCAAGGAATAAATTGACACGTGTTGCTCGAGTGCATGTCCTAGTGGCAGGTTAGAGATTTGGCAGAGAATGAAAACATTCTGACAGGATGACGAGAAAGATCTGGATGAAAAGGGCTGTTCGTTCGGTCTGTTTTAAAACCACCATTCTGGCATAGCGATCCTCTCCTCTTCCTGTAATTGTATCAATCTGTTTCACAAATAAATTCAGTCTCGTGGCTCCACCAGTCTCTCTGATAATCCATTCTAACTGCTGATAACCCTCCATGTAAATAACTACTTCCTGGTGTCTGCTGAGCTTGCCCTTCATAGTTCCTAAACATTTTTTTTGGTTGCTCATCCCTTGTGCCAGATCATTTCACTTCTTGTGAGGAGATGAAGGGGATGAGGTGAAGTATTTGGGATTCCCAGTATATTGTGGATTTGAATGAACTGACTGAATGAACTTGACTATAAATTACATTTATGCCTTTCAAGTCAGCAGGATGTCCCAAGGCGCTGAACGGTTAAGGGTTTGCACCTAAGCTGAGGGTTGGAATCAAGAGGACTAGAGGGTAGGGAGAGTGTGGGTGGGAGTGTGGCCGAAGGCAAGGTCAAATAGAAAGGACCCGAAAAAGGACTCAAGACCTTCCCCTGACTCTCAGGCAGAAGTTTGTGTGTTTTGAGACCCAGGCCCAATCTGTAGTTTGTTTTGTTTAGTTGAACTTGCACTATGTAGGGAGGATTAGAAAACCTGAGATAGTTTGGTCTGTTTCCCTTCCCCACTTGTGTTACTGCTCTTTGCAGCTGAGCACCATATAGAGAAGTTTAGAGACTTTGCTTTCTCCCCCTCTCCCCCCCCACTCCAGAATGGGGTGGCAATCCTGTGGGTTACTATCCTTTGCCCTCCCCCTCCTCCAATAATCATAATCCTTGCATTTGATATAACGCCTTATCATGTTGTAATAAAATAAACATTATTTTACCAAATAAAGTGTTGGTCCAGGAAGGCAGTTTTTTTTCCCATAAGGGCCCCACCCACCACCCCAGAATATGTCAGTGGTGCGGGGAGAGCAGAAGAAATTATTTTGTGCCTCAATTTTCTTGCTGATGAGATTGTGACTGCCTTANTTTTTTTCTACAGGTCATCGCACAACGAGCTTGAGAAACATAGGTGAGTGTCGGGCAACGGATGTCGTCAGCGACTCAGCAGTTTTAAAAGATTGGTTTTGTGGTTCATCCACCATGACACACTGCACCACAAAACTGCCACCATGCCGTCATCTCGTCATAGCATAGGGATCACTGACCTTTGGATGAGTTCTTTACTGTTTAACTTTGCAATCCACAACTGCAGTTGTTATCTGCAGCCCCACAAATCCATTGGGATACACTTAGGCTGGTGGGTCCACGCACTTGATATTTGTCCTCGGTCACCTTTCATATAGGTGTAACACTGTGAAGATCCCTTGTTCTGCTGGTGAAGGAAACCTACAGCACACACTCGCTTTGGGTCCTTCAACCTTGCATTCTTTGGGTCCTTCAACCCTTGAGAATTTTGATCCTTTCAGGTTTTAATTTTTTTTTCTTCTCTCGCCTCCTCCCTTTAATTTTTCTCCGTTTCTTATTTGTCCCTTACTCTCCTCAAAGCCCTGAAACATGCTTGAGTTTTCAGTGACACCGAGTGACATACTATTGCCTCGCCCTAATGTTAGCTTTATGTGTGAGCTTCAATACTGGGCATTAACTGGCTTTTTGACCAAAGCTGGATATCTCTTTCTTCCCCAGGCCAGGTTTACGCATGCCAGTTTTGGGGCGCTCACTCCTGCCCCAGCTGTGATCAACGAATTGAGCCCAGATCTGAGCTTGAATCTAGGAGCCTGCAAAGTTCAGGTTCATATACCATTGTGACCTTTCCAAAGCTGAGCCAATTGGAAAGAGTTTTTAATATGTGTTTATACAAGTTTGCAAAGTCATTTTCCCCACAACTATAGAATTGTCAGCCTGGCTCCATTAGTGACTCCTTGAGGAAGAAGGTCCATGTCCCACGTCAGGACTTCGAGCTTGTAGTCTTCTCTAGGCTAATTCTCCAGTTTAGTACCAGAGGAATGCTGAATTGTCAGAGGTGCCTTCCTTTGGATGACGAGGTGTTAAATTGAGGCCCTGTCTACCTATTTAGCTAGACATTGAAAGATACAATGGTATTCAAAAAGAGAAGAGTTTCTCCGGGTGTCGGGTCAGCCTACAAATATACAATCACTTGACACAAAACTCCATGAAACGCTTTAAGATATTCTGATCTGACAAGGTGTGGAATCAAATGCAAAAATTATTTGCGAGCTGGAAGGACAATGTCCATAATGACCTGTGGGGAACCGAGCACATGTGGCTTGATATTATACAGCAAGTGCAGGGGCATTTGAATGTGTCACAACACACATTGGTGTCTTCGTTAATGAGCGTTGTGTTTTACTCGAGACAATTGTTCTCTTTCTCGATTTCCCGGGCAGTTGCTCTGATGATTCGAGGGTCAAGTTCACTGAGCTGCTGTTTAGTCCTGGACAAAACTATTGGCTGTAATTTAGTTAATTTCGGATGCTCTCATCTCACTTCAATGTTCACAGAAAGTGTTAAGCCTCAGGGTTTTTTTACCTAAGCTATGAAGGAATATTTGTAAGGATATTTGTACCTGTAGCTGCAAAATTTCTTTCCCATTCCCCCCTTGATCAGAAAGTTGTGGGCTTAAGCCTCATGTCAGGACTTGGAATCGCAAAGTCTAAGCTGCCACTCCAGTGGAGTGTTGAGGGGCGTTGCATTTTTGGAGGTGCCGTCCTTCGGATGAAACATTAAGTCAAGATCCCATCTACCTGTTCAGGTGTATGTTAAAGATCCCATTTCTACTATTCTAGGTGGCTGAAAGAAATCAGTCGTAAGTTAAGGAGATTGGTTTTGAAGGCAGGGAAGATGGGGGTAAGGCGGAGGGACTCTGGGATGAATTCTAGAGAACAGGTATATTCACTGGAGACTGTGGCGCATTGCGATGGTCAAAAATCCTTTGTGATCAAAAGATGTCCTGGTTCAAGTTGAATGGCAGCTCTGTGACATGTTGCCCAGCCTCAAGATTGAGACAATTGAAGAGCATTGTTGTAATTTCTGATATCCTCCTCGTCCACAAACTATATACAACGACAACAACAAGATTGCATTTATAGAGCGCTTTTCATGTCGGGAGGACGTCCCAAGGCGCTGATAGTCACTACACTTTACAGTATATCCTGTGAAACGCTTTGAGACATCTCGAAGACGTGATCAGGCACTATATCAAATGCAAGGATTATTATTAACACTCGCGAATTAGGTCTCCCCTCTGGTGAGAGAGTGCACATTCCATTCTAGACACCGGAGAATGCGTGTGTGTGGGTGACATGACCGGAGCTCTTAGTCTAGTTGGGTTACTCTTAAAACATGGGAATGGCTTCCTGCATGTGTTAACCACAGCAACTTGCATTTATGTAGCGTCCTTCACGTAGGATGGTGCTTTAAGTGTAGGGTAGACACCCAGCTGTCTCCTAAAAAAGGTGAATGGGTTTCAGGGTAGCATTGGCAGTAGTGGTCATACTACTGAGGCTGAGGAACCTCTCCCCCCATGTGCACATGCACTCACACATACACACTTTTAATGTTAACTCTCATTAACTAAAATCAGATGCAAAAAGAAAAGTTGATGCAGTAAGTATAAAGATGATTTTTTTTGCCAGCAGTAACTTATTTTGGAAGGGTTCAATTTTCGGGTGGGGCGAAACCTGAGGCAAGTTTCCTTCCTCCAGACGCGTCTGTTTACCAAGCAGTAAGTAGAAACCCAGTTGTTAATCGATTGGTGGATTGCTTTATGGAGGTAATTCTTCCCCCAAGAAAAAATGTTTTGGTCACCATTGCTGTACGTAATTGGTTGCCGTATTTCGCCCACAAAATCCAGTCAGTCCACTTTATAATGTATTCTATGAAACGCTTTGAGACAGCTGAACAATATAACAACACAACTTGCGCTTATGTAGCGCCCTCCATGCAGCGTAGCATCTCTGAGTGCTTAACAATGGTGGAGCCTGACTCGGAGCCGGGGGGCGTGGGAGGTAACCGTAAGCACGGTCGAAAAGGAAGGTTTTAAGGTGGGACTTGGAAAAGGGGGGGGAGGGGTTTGCAAAGCGGAGGGATTGAGGGAGAGTGTTCCAAAGTTTCGGGGCGTAGTGGCTGAAAGCGTGACCTCCAGTGGTGGAGCAGAGGGTGCAAGGGATGAGCAGGAGGCCGGTGCTAGTTGAGTGGAGGTGCCGGGTGTGGATTGGGGAGTGAGGAGGTTGGAGAGGTAGGGCGGTGCCAGAGAATGAAGGGATTTGAACATGAGTGTGAGGATCTCGGAAGTCAATCTGTTCAGTGATGTGGAGCCATTGGAGCCTGGCCAGAACTGGTGAGATGGGGGTACGGAGTTTGGTCCAAGTCGTTATGTGGGCAGCAGAGTTCTAAATGAGCTGCATTTTTTTAAATAGTGAAGCTGGGGAGACCGGTGAGGAATGTGTTCGAGTGATCCAGGAGGGAGGTGACAAACGCATGCATAAAGCTTTCAGCTGCATTTGGGGTAAGGTTACAGGCGAAGGTGGAGGAAGGCCGAACTGGTCAGGGACCGGATGTGGGGGAGGAAGGACAGCTGGGGATCGAACCAGAGGCCTAGATTGCTCACTGGTTTGGTGAGTCTGAGGGAGAGTCCAGGGGGGTTGAGGAGTTAGATATGCAGACATGAAGATGTTGATGGGAGCCAAAGAGTATGGCTTCCGTCTTGTTCACATTCAACTGTAGGACGTTTGCACTCATCCAGGCCCTGATGTCTGCCAGACACGCTGATCGAACATCAGTGGACCTGGAATTGATACTGGAGGAGGCAAAGTAGATTTGTGTGTCATCCGCATACATGTGGAAGTTTACCCCGTTTCTGCGGATGACATCACCCAGAGGAAGCATGTAGGCACTATTATCAAATTAAGGATTATTATTACCAGAATAGGCATGATGGCTTGAGTTGGTAAGAGTAAAAAGGGTAATTTAATAAAATAAAGGGAGCAGTGGCAGAGATATGATGGGTTGAGTAATCTCTTGAGCTAAAAATGTGTTTATTTGTCCCTACGCTTCACACTTTTCCAATCACTTTTGTATCCTTTCTATAATCAGGTTCTCCCAATTGTGGGATTTTGTGTTGGTTTGTAATTGAAACCACATTAACAATTTGGAAAGAATTTATAACTGTGTTTATGGAAGGGTAATGTATTTTTGTGAAATGTTGTAATCTTTCCCTCTCCCCCCACCCCCTCCAATACTTATCCCTCGTCTCCTGGGTTCTTGCTCTGCTCTGGTGATCTGAGGTGAGAGCACTGCATAGTACTGATAAACCTGCATACTCATATGCCATTGCAGGCTCATATGCCTGTTGCAGGGTTATGTCTTGCCTTTGCAAATTCAAATGGGGAGTTTCAGCAAGTGCAACCTGAAGACGAAACAGGTGTAATATTGGGTGATGGGGAGAGAGCTCTTAGTGAAGAACTGACAAATCCTTTATAATGGCTTTTCAAGGTGAAATGTCTCAGAACAATTCACAGGTAATTCACCTACAAATACAGAGTCATGACACTCTACAGAAATGTTACAGGGTTAACTCGAGCTGAGTAAGAGGAATCCCTGCCCCAAGTTACCTGCTGTTGAGCCGGGCTGTCTTGCTGGTCTGTAATCAGCAGTGGGACTTGTATTAAACTAAATAGCTCCAATGGAGGTGCTTTCACCAGAACAGACTTGATGGGTTGAATGGCCTTATGTGCTCTAAATGTTCTATGACTCCAGTATGTTCAAACGGGAATAGACATACGGGCATTATTATTATTATTTATTATCCCACAATGTGTTCAAGAGCCCTGAATGACCTGCGAGCATAAAATGGCTTCAGGCTGACTCCGCTCAACGAGTGCAGTTGAGTACATTTTTGAAGACGGGGAGGATATCAGTGAGAGTGTTGTGTTTTGATCTCCAGCATTTGAAAAGCCTTTGTTAAGGAACAATTTTTAACTTGAGGCCATTGTCGCCCTCTACCCCAACTTCTGGAAATCCTTGCTTCCAACAACAACTGGCTTTTACATA